AGCCGTTAGCGGTGCTGCTAACGTTACTAGCTCTCCTCCTGTTGGTTTAAACACTGATTGGTTGTTTAGAATGAAACATTATCAGAGGTCACAGACTAGAAACACATGAGTCAGTCTACTGAGTCAGTAAAACTTTATTTACACTGTGATGGTTAACGATAAAACTTTATTTACACTCTGATGGTTAATGTTAAAACTTTATTTACACTGATGGTTAACGTCAAACTTTATTTACACGCTGATGGTTAACGGTAAATCTTTATTTACACTGTGATGGTTAACATTAAAACTTTATTTACACTGTGATGGTTAACGTTAAAACTGTATTTACACTCTAATGGTTAACGGTAAAACTTTATTTACACGCTGATGGTTAACGATAAAACTTTATTTACACGCTGATGGTTAACGGTAAAACTTTATTTACACGCTGATGGTTAACGGTAAAACTTTATTTACACGCTGATGGTTAACGGTAAAACTTTATTTACATGCTGATGGTTAACGGTAAAACTTTATTTACACGCTGATGGTTAATGGTAAAACTTTATTTACATGCTGATGGTTAACGGTAAACTGATTAGTCATCGAGGTTCACATGAGAACTGAACTGTGAGGATCAATTATCAACTACAGTCCGTTACTCCATTCATTTATAATGTTAATGACCAATGTATCAAGACTACATAAAACTACATCACTACAATAATCAAATCTTCAGCTCTGATGTTCTACATTAAACTAATTTTGCATGAAAACTTGCAACTGATTAAGACAAAGGCATAACAACATATGTTGTCAAACAGTTCAGGCTACTCTTGTGAGAGTAAAGATAGAACATATTACACATTTAGATGTGTAATATGTTCTTCATCCCCTCATCTTCCTCTCTCTGTTGTCTTCTCTGATTTTTACTTTCCAGGCTGCCGTTAGGAAATCTGTCCAACATAAACATCGACACGAGCACCTTAGAGTTCCAGGTTCACAGGAATCACGTGAGTGACGCTGGACTTCCAGAGAATCGTCTGCAGCACGTAGAAGCTAACGGGCGCTAACGGGCTTCTGTGTTTGTTTTGGCAGACATCAGTGATGAAGAGCAGCTCAGGCTTCGTAGAGGGATCCACCAGACCTTTCGTGTACAACCTCCTCCTGCTGCCCGGAGAGGTGAAGGCCTTCAGCGTGAGGTTCACTCCCTCCAGCAACCACAGCGTCTCCTCCCTCCTCATCGTCAGGTAACGGGACGAAGCATAAAGGGACTAAAACGTTATTCTGGTCAATTTCGAGATGTTTTGTTCTATTTTTAATCCATAACTCGTCTTCTTTCAGACTAGAGGAAATAAAACGTTTATTTTATACTTTGTCTGTTTACGTTTGTAGATTTCTCCTAAATTCACCAAAAGTTACCATTACATAATGCCTCATTTGCATATTTAAACATAACATTTCAGTAAACTTGTAATACAATAAATACTGATCTTAATGTGAGTGATGAAGTGGTGAAGTTTCATGGTGATATCTATGAGTTCATGTTGTGACTCTATTCACCTGTAGAGTCTTCTTAATGTGAGTGATGAAGTGGTGAAGTTTCATGGTGATATCTATGAGTTCATGTTGTGACTCTATTCACCTGTAGAGTCTTCTTAATGTGAGTGATGAAGTGGTGAAGTTTCATGGTGATATCTGTGAGTTCATGTTGTGACTCTATTCACCTGTAGAGTCTTCTTAATGTGAGTGGTGAAGTTTCATGGGGATATCTATGAGTTCATGTGTTCACCTG